TTATTTATTTATTTTTGAGAAAGTGTCTTGCTGTGCAATCCTGACTGGCTTTGAACAGCAGTGGTCCTTCTGCTTCAGCCTCCTGGGGCTGGGGTGTTAGGCATGCGCCGTGATGCCTGGCTATGACTTTATATTGAAGATGTTAACTTCGTGTGTATACCTAAAGCATAGCTATCAGGTACTTCCTTTAAGTACACATTAACTACTGAATCAAATAATTATATCCTGGTTGCCTGAAGGTTATGGAATTTATGAGTCCAGTCTGGTGAATTTATATTAGGAAAGAAAAATACAGGTAAGATTACAAAAGCAGTTTCCAGGGCCAGGGTACTATACAGCATTTGCCCCATAAACACAAGGTCCCAAGTTCAATTCTAGACACACACACACACACACACACACACACACACACACACACACACAGAGGACACAGCTGGTGAGGAGGAAAAGATAGTGAGAATGTGAGACGACTGAGGTCACCGCCAGCCCATCCCTGCTTCTCAGCGCCAGGCAATACCATGAAGCTCACCTAATGTCCTCTTGACTCTTACCCAGATGGTAAGCAGGAGCTGTTTCCCTGTGAAGTCTGTGGAAGAAGCTTTGCGGCAGATGTTCTGGTAAGCATGAAGACAGTGTGTAGCTGTGCTGCACGGGAGTTAAATGGACTGTCACATCAAGGAAGAGGTGCCAGGGCCAAGAGTGAAGGCAGATGTGGAGGGGAAGCAGAGGAGAAGAGGCACAGAACCCCGGCTGCCAGACCCCTGGAGCCCTGAGCGCATTCACAAGGGGCCCTGGCTCAGCTGACTGGAGCTTCTGGCTCTTCTGCCTTTTCTTTAAGCATCAAAAATTCAAATTTCAAGGCCCAAAAAACACCAGGGAGATTAGCTAGTCAAAAGGAATGAGCATTGAATTTCAGGCATCTGGAAGCTTGGCTTTTAGTCGCAAATTTGTCACTCATTCTGACAAGTCACTTAACCTTCCTGTTTTCTGCTTTGCTGCGTATAAAGAAGCCTCCAGTCTGGGGTGTGTTACGCCATTTGAATAAAGTAATACACGGATGCAAGGTGTGACTCAAGATCTGTGATCCAGATTCAAGCTATGTGTCAGGGTCCTTGGTTGTTGGCTATGAAGTTGAATAAAACCTTGATCTACCTTAAAAATAGGGGATCAAACAGATTGTAGGCCCAAATATATTGTAAAGAGGTTCCTAGAGCAATGATTTGCTAAAAGTCTTACAATGATCAGTGAAGTATTTTATTTTAGATCAAGGAGAGATAGTTGAAAAGATTTGGACTCTAAGCCTGACTACATTTAGAGGCTACAAAGTGAAGTTGTGGGTTTGATTTTTTTCCCTAGGAAATTAAAAATAATGTAATCTGTTCTCATGAACTATGGTTACAGTTTTCTGAAGTTTTAGTGGGAGTTCAGGAGGAGTTCCCCAGGACACTGCTCCTGCCCTTGTTGGCCAGAAGCTGCACCTCTGGATGTAGGTTCAAGTCCTGGGAGGTCCACGCGTAGAAGGGTCAGGGAAGGTTCGGTGTGTTTTGCATACTGTGCTGGGTAGGGATACAACGTTGTGGATGATGGCTGTTAGGCGTTTCCACCATGGAAAAGCACAAAGTGTTGCTGTCCTCCCACAGGGACCCAGGGACAGACTTGGAAATGTACTCAGGCAAAGCTCTGGGTCTTGGTTCCCCAGTTTTTGCACCAAAAATGATGAGCACTTAAAGGACTGTAGGTTTGAATAAAGAAGGTAGTGTCCGTATATTTAGAGTTAAATATATTAAAAGACAAATTTGCAGCAAAGCTCTGTAGCTGTTGGATTATTGTTTCATCACTATAGCAAGATACCCGAGAGGTTCTTTTTACAAGAAAGGGTTATTTTAGCTTGACACTTCTGAGGGTCCCATGCATGGTTGGTTGGGCCATTGCCTTGAGCCTGTGGTGAGCAGCACATCATGGTCACAAAAGTCCATGATGGGTCAGAACTGCCCACCTGATGGCCAAGAAGCGAAGGACCACCAGGAGGAATGGGCAAGAGTTTCCTGATCCCTTTCAAGGCATGCTCCTGGTGACCTAACTCCTGCAGGTTCCCTGGCTTTCCAGCACCACCCTGGTATGCTTGCACTTCTGGAGGACAATCAAGATCCTGGACCTTTCACTGTCTTTGCCCAAACACAGCACTGCATCTAATGCGGTTGAGGACAGCCGCATTGATTTGCTCTGCTGTGATCCAAGAGTTAGGAAATGTGTGTACTGGGTTCTGAAGACACAGACCCACTTACTGCAGTGGGGCCCACCAAATACACAAAAGAATTAAGAAACTGTGATGATGCATTTCCAAAATTTTAATACTTATCCTTCCTTTTCTAGGAAAGGCATGTACCAATATGTAGAAAGCTCTTTAACAAAAAGCGCAAACCTTTCAACTCCTTGAAGCAGAGATTACAGGGCACTGACATTCCCACGGTGGCGAAGGCTCCCCAGCCCAAGGTACTGTTGCTGGTTTCTTTATTGTGCTTTCTAATAGTAAGTACATTTACACTGATTTTCAATCCCACTGGTTTTGTTTTTGCGTGGTAAAGCAGTGTAAAGTCATCTAAGTATAATCCACTTTAGCTGCTTTCTTTATAATCTTGGTCAGTTGTATCTCCAAATTTGTCTCAGATACTTTCCAGATGTGACTGAAAGAATTTTGTTTACATTTTCATTAGAATTGCTCTAAATCTAGCAATTAGGAAGAACGTCACTTTCATTTGTCTTCCACTAAAATTTTGTAGTTTCATTCTGATTTTTATTTTTGTGTTTCCCTTCACTGTTGTGACTTGCAAATTTTATTACTGCAGTTCCAAAACCTCTTTAAGTAGTTGTTTTGAAAAGCAAATTCTCCTTTCTCTCCAAATTTTATAGTCCTGTTTCCTATAGATGCAAATCCCAGCTTTAAAAACACAAAGTTGTCCCGGAGACATAGTCTTCGGCAGTGTTTGTTGGTTTTTCGTTCCTGCAGTCTCAGCCTGTGAAGAAATCTAACTGGAGAGAACAGCATGAAGAGTTCATTAACACGATTCGATCAGCAAAGGATTGCATGCAAGCCATGAAAGAAGGCCGGCCTCTGCCCCCTCCGCCCCCTCCGAGAGTCAATCCCGGTGCGTACACACGCACAATAACTTTTGCTTCTTTCTGCTTCTCTTCCTTTTCCTTCTCCTCCTCTTTTCTTTCTTAAATACCAGCATTTAAACATGGTTTTATTCATGCTAGAGAAGCTCTTTTTCACTGAGCATGGCCCCAGTCCTTTGGTTGGCCTCTGAGGCTATGCTTGACTTTTGGGCAAATTATATACTCTAAGAGTGACAGTAACAATTCCATGGAAGTGATTTTTATTGATTATACAAGAGCTGTATGTATATATGAAAATGTTTTCCTCCCTGATTCACATAAAGATTCTTTGTCACTTCTCCAATCTGGCTTAGCATGAGACCACCACTGTGCCTTGCTGTGTCGTCATGTAGTTCCAGGGACATTGTCTAACCCAAGCCGAGGAACAGGGCGTGCAGAACACCTAAGCTGTTCCACGGTAGTCGCACAGGGCCAGAGAGCCACAGCTTGCTTCTTTCTTTCTCTGTCTCTCTTTCTCTGTCTGTCTCTCTCTCCTTTCTTCCTTCCTCTTTCTTTTTTTCTTCTCAGTCTTCTTCCTTTTTTTTTTTTCTTTTTTAACTGGGGATTGAATTTAGGCCCTTGTGCTTGCCAGGGAAGCGCTTATTCTATTGAGCCATCTCCCCAGCCCCCCCCCCTTTCTTTTCTTTCCTCTTACAACTAGATTTACCATTTTAGATTGCACTATTCAGTGACACACTACTTTTTTGTTGCTATGTTGAAATTTTTGAACCTATAGAGAAGAAGGAACAGCACAATACTTGCTACTAACATCTGGTACCTAGGGCACGAAGTGCTGCCCCCCTGGTCCTGCAGACCCATTTCTAAATCATCAGCTGCTAGCCTTCTTCAACATACTTTCCTGCATAACTACCATGCTGTTATCAGTTTAAAACTAAAGGCCCATTTTCCCAGTGACCCTAAGAATGTGTTTTAAAGCTCTGCCTGCCGTCTCCCCTCTTCCTCTGCCACAATCAGATTATGGTCAAGGTTTATGTGGATTGTTTGTTTGTTATATTTACAATCTAATCTTACAGTTCTTCCAAGCTATTTATCTCTTGGAATGTCTCACCTTCTGTAATCCTCTGCTTGCTTAGGCATCTTAGTGTTTAGCTTGTATTTCTGTCCCATCTTTCTTTACATTGAAATTTAGGGCTACAGGCTTAGCTGGATTAATTTTAATCCTCTATCAGATATGTGATTTGCAAAGATTTTCTTCGACCCTGTCTTCTGACTCTCTTGTATAAAATCTTATTTTTTTTTTTAATGAAGTCCAACATATCTATTTTTTCACTGTTTGTGCTTTTGGTGTCATATATTTAAAAGATCATGGTCAAATCTAATGTTTTTCCATGTTTTTGTTGTTGTTGTTGTGTAGCTCTAAGCTCCTCTATTTAGCTCTCTGATCCATTTTGCATTATCTCAACTTCCCTCCTTGCACCAAGAATGCCACTCTGCTCAGCAGCATTTGATAGAAAAGACTGTTCAGTGAATGGGCGTGGAGTGCTTATCGAAAGTCAGCTGACTCTGTATTTGACAGTTTGGTCTGGGCTGTGTTCCATCCCATTGGTCTACACGGCCATCTTTATGCCAGGACCACACTATTCAATTACTGTAGCATTATAATAAGTCTGGAAATCAGGAATTCCGATGTCGTTCTGGCTATTAGAGGTTTTTTGTTTTTATTTTTAGAGTTAGTATAAATTTAGGATTTTTTTTTCTATTCAGAAGAATTTGGGGATTTTAGTAAGGGTTGCATTAAACCTGTAGGTCACTTTGGTAGTACTGTAATCTTAGGAATACTATCATCCAATCCGTGAACACAGTATATCTTTCCATTTACTTATTTTTTTAAATTTCTTTTATCAATATTTTGTTGTTGTCAGTGTTCAAGTCTTACTCCTTCTTGGTTAAGTTTGTTCTTGTGTACTTTATTCTTTTATACTTTATTATAAATGGAATTCCTAACTTTCTTTTCAGATTGTTCATTGTTAGCAAATAAAAATGCAACTTATTTTGGTACAATGGCATTGTATGCTACAGCTTTGCTGAATGTACTTACAGCTCAACAGTATTTTTGTGGAATTCTTACATATAAAGTACAGTAAAGCCTTGGTTTCATTCCTGAAACATGCTGTAATCCAAAGTGCTTGTATTTCAAAGTGAATTTCTCCATAAGAAATAATGGAAACTTAGATCATTTGTTCCGCAACCCAAAAATATTCATGTAAAATGACCACAACACTTTAGCAATAAATAAAGTACAATAAAGAAAATAAAATAATGAAACAAATATAAAATATTAAGAAAAATAAACAAATCAACCTGCACTTACCTTTGAAAACTTTGTGGCTGGTATGGGGAGCTGCCATTTATTTATTTGTTTGTTTATTTATTTATTTATTTTTCTGTATTTTAGGGCAGGGTATACAGGGTGTACAGGGTCTCACTACGTGGAACAGACTTATAGTGATTCTCCTGTTTACAGCCTCCCAAGTGCTGGGATTACAGGCGTGCGCCACCACGCCCAGTCTCAATCAGGGCCTCAGTGTGCCCCAGGATCGAACCCCTGGGCCCCGTGCCTGCTTGCAGATGCTTTAATCCGCTGAGCTACTTGGTTTATGGCTGGTATGAGGGAGAAGGGCTATTGTGTAGGATACTTACACTATCTCTGAGGCAATCAGTGCTATTGTTGGCCCAGTGGAATCTTTTTCTTTTTGAGCAACTTTAACATTGAACCTAGCCAGAGACACTTGCTTTTGCGTTCTTTGGAGGATTTTATGGAAATGTGACATCGCATAGTGTCCGCACAGATTCACTGCTTGCGTTGCTACAGGATTATTTGGCTGGTGGATGCTTTTCTACAAAATTGTGTTGTTTCCCACATTTTTTATATCTTCCTAATCTCACTTGCAACAAGGACTTCCTCCTATTTCTGTGCCCCCTCTGCAGGGACCTTCTCCATCCCTTCTTGCTGTGGGGAACCCAGTCCTGCAGAGCGGGAGGCGGGAGGGGAGAGAGGAAAGAGAGACAGAGGCAGAGAGAACACTGGCTCAGTTGTGATTGTGATGTTTCCTGTCACACACTACTCATACTGCAAGGCATGGCTCTTCTATCAAGTTACAACTTCTCAGAAATGTTTACTCATCTTGCAAAACACAGAACCGGCTGCCCCCAATCCAGGGTTTTTTGTAATGTTATCTGTAAACACAGACAGGTCTGCTTCTGTTTCCATTTGTCTCTCTCTCTCTCTCTCTCTTTTCTTCATGTCTAAATCCTCTGGCTAGGGCTTCTAACCTATGTTAAAAAGTAGTGGCAAAAGTGGGCATTGTTGTCTTTTTGTATCATTGAGTATAATGTTGGTTTTGGGTTACAATTTATTGTCTAAGGCATTGAAAGAATGGCATAGCTAATGGATGTGGAAGTAAAATGTATGAAAACAATGGCACAAATTTGAGTCCAGAAAAAGGACATATTTTTCTAAGGTCCTTACATTATGTGTGACTAGATATAGCACTATTCAAGATAGACTAGTGGTTGCTCTAGAAACCACTCAAAAATACTGACCTTCAGCTAATAAAACAATGAATTGAGTAGAGATGAAAATGAAAACAAAATCAATCTAAAAGAGAACATAAGGGCCAGCCACTTATTGATTAAAGTGCCTGCTTAGGCAGACTCAGGGGCTGGGTTCAATCCCTGGCATGCCCTGCTGGCCCTGTCCCCGGGGTGTGCTGAGACAGAGAGTGACACTGGGTGTGGTGGTACACACCTGTGATCCCAGAGCTTGGAAGGCTGAAAACAGGAGGATCCCTATGAGTCCAAACCATGTAGAGAGACCCTGAAGACTGTACTAAATACATAAAAATAAATAAATAAAAAAAATAGAAAAGAACCTAAAAGAGGGAAAATGAAATCAGATAAATCCAAATAGCAAGACGGCAGAGTAAAACCTAACTATATGAATAAGGGCATATAAATATCCTATACACTCCAGATAAAAGACAGAATATTAAGATGAATAATAATAAAATAATAATAGCATATAAATATCCTATACACTCCAGATAAAAGACAGAATATTAAGATGAATAATAAAAAAAGGGCTGACTACTTTGGGTTTCATAAGAAGCACTTAAGAGACACAAGCTAAATGCACAGGAGAGGGTGTGCACATAAACAATAACCACACAAGTGGGGCGGCCATGCTGAGATAAGGCAAGGTAAACTTCAGAGTGAGCAGTAACAGAGATCTTGATTCAAAACATCTTTTCTTTTTTTTTTTTTTTTCAAAATTTTATTGATAAACAGCCATGAGACAGTTTCAAATCAAATCGGAAGTACGGATCAAAACATCTTTTCAACACGAAGACCTCACAGTTCTAAACGTCTATGTACCCTGTCAGAGAGCTTCAAAGAACATGGAACAAAATCTGACAAATCTGGAAGGAGAAGCAGACAAATACACAATTATTCCGGGAGATGTGATCGCTTTGCTTTTAGTAGCTGATGGATTATGCAAAAGCAGAAGGAGAACCAGTGAAGATGCAGAAAGTTGCGCAGCTGTATCAGCAGGTTGGCCTAACTCATGGTAGCTGCAGGAGACAGAGCAACAGCAGACTACGCGTTGTTTTCAAATACATGGACTGCTTACCTAAGACAGATCATGTACACGACCAGACCGCAGGGCTCAACAAATTTAAAAGGATTAGGATTAAAATCAGACAGAATTGGGCCAGGGAGATGGCTCAGTAGAATAAGTGCTTGCCTGGCAAGCACAAGGGCCTGAGTTCAATCCCTGGTTCTGCCAAATAAACAAAAAATAATAATAATAAAAATCAGACAGAATATATTTTCTGATCACAGTAAGATTAAGTTAGAAATTAATAAAAAATGTATCTGAAACATACTTGAATATTAAGAAATTAAATTCTCTCTCTCTTTTCTTTTTCTTTCATTCATTCTTTCTTTCTTTCTTTTTTTTTTTTTTTTT